CCCCAAAACCCCAAAACCCCAAAACCCCGAATGTACTTAAGAGACACTTTTGCAAGAATCATATAATTAATTAAAATTACTAAATTAGTTATTAGTATTTTTCCATGTAAATTCAGCAATTTGTAGGTTCTGTTCAATAATCATCGTCTTCTTCTTAGTCGTAGTTAACCTAAAACAGAACTAATATGAGTGTCTTTTAAGGTTTTAACTTTGAAACAGTTTAAAGAAGAAACGCTTAACCCTAAGCAACTGATAGACAAAGAAAGCTTAAGTTTTAACTGAAAATTTGTAAATTTGAGCATTATTAAGCAGCAGTGCTTAATAATGCTAAAAGTGTTGAAGCCTTCGTTAGAAGTACCCTTGAAAGCGACGTCTCATAAAATCTAGGAGGTTATTATAAAATGGCAAATATTAACATGAAGGAGAGAATCTTAGAATGCATTCAAAATTTAGTTCAAAGTAGAACTTTGCAAGCAAGTTCTTAAAAAATTCTTGAGTAGCAACTTAAAAACATCCTCAACAACTAGTTAGTGTAAAAGAACATAGTATAAGAATAAACAATGGCTGGTGGCAATAAAGAATAAGAAGAAATTACTCCTTAAACTTAAAAATAGGGATCTATTGTACTTTTATCATGTACTCAAGAAATCTAGTCTCAATAAAATCCAATTGAAGGTCTCAATGAAGAGGAAGCTGATGCAAGCAAAACAAAGCTTGGTAAACGTCCACGATCTTAGCAAAAAGATAGTAATCATTAAAATAAATTAGATGAGTTTGAGGACTAATCAACAGTTTCAAGCCTATAACTTCAAAAAAGACTCTCCAACGGGTAGGTCATTGTAAATTAAATAGAAGAATTAATCAACTAAGACTCCAATAAAAGCATCATAGCATTGAGCGCCTCATAATAATCACAATTAGTTCTACCTGATTCAAATCAAAGCATACTTCTTCTTAATAACTAATGCAATGAAGTCTCCTTTGTTGAGTATAAGTCATAGCGAAGTAGTTAACAGAATTCAATCGAAGTTTAGAAATAAAGTCCTTTACCTTAAATAATTACAATTTCTAGCAGCAATGAGAGCTGTATCAGTAATAATAATAATAGCAACAACAATAACAATGAAAATTTCTCTGAAGTTCCAAATTTAAACTCTTGGGGTTTTGGGGTTTTGGGGTTTTGGGG